TACAGGATCATTAATCAAAAATCACACTGGAGGAATGACTTGATCCAAACAGCTTAAACTGGAAGTTTTAAATAAGTTTATCATGTAAAAACAGCTACTTATACAGTCAGTTTGTCCTACAGAAATTTAGAAAATTATCCCACAAGAGGCTAATGTTTGCTATATGAATACATCTGAAACATTTGCAAAAATATGTAAGAATCTTATTATAATTTATATTCTGCTGACAGCTGCAGAAACATGCTGCTGTGTTGGTGGTTAATGGAAATAAAATCATCCCAGGTTCATTTCTGTTCTATGCACCTTAGGAAAACCGCCAAAAAAAAAGAAAGAAAAAGTTCCACACATTGAAATAAAATTGTAAATCAAAGGTAATAAATTGAAATTTTACCACACAGTCTGGATCCCACTGGGTCACACAGAGGCGGGAGGCTGCTGCTGCTCGTTAGCCAAACCAACCACAGATTTATGACCTCTGAGAAGGTCCTGTGGGACCAACAGGACACAGTTTAATTAATCTGAATTAAACGCTCTGCCCTTACAGATGCTTCCAGTCTCATTCGGTAATTAGTGGACTTTCCTGCCGCCAATGTGAGCAGCCCTGACTAATTAATCACCTTTCACTTGTTTTTCCATCAGTAGCTCTCTTGCGTTGGTTTGTAAATCTTTATCAGCAGGCAGAAATGTCTATATGTCTGCGTTCACACTGCAGCCTGAAGTGATCCAATTCCGACTTTTTTTTTTCTTCTTTTTTTTCTTTGCCGTAATGCGACCTGTAGCTGATCTTTTCATGACAGTCTGAACAACACAGGTCGGATATCCGACATGTATCGGATTCAAATGCGACCTAACGGCTAGGTCGCATACATCCGACCTGAACGTCACTGATACTCGACAAACGTCACTATTCTGCGCCCTGATACGCGCAAGCGGGAAGAAAAAACACAACCATGGCGGACTGTAATGAGGATCGATGTTAATATGCTGCTCCGGTCGGACAACAACTTTAAAATCGTAAGCTAAGCTCCACCGTTGCATCCATGTTTACTTCCGCACTTCTTCTTTTCATGGCGGTTGGCAGAACACTGAGAACGCTGACGTTATTGCGCCCTCTACTGCGCATCCGGGATACTTTCACGAAATAAGCATTATATATCAGACGGCATATCAATCACTATTGACTAGTTTTTGGTTTTAAATAACTGAAATACTGCCGAACTGGTGGAATGACGTTTTGTGTTTGGTTCAGTTTTCACTCCACGCTGTTTTTCATTTTTAAGCACTTATGAGGCACATTATTAACTGCTGCTGCAACAGGTTGTTGCTAGGTAACCAGAAGTTACTCAACAAGTTGTTGCTAGGTAACCTGATTCCACCAACTTTAAAATATTTCATCCGAATGTCCAGAATGCTGTGCGGTTCTGGATCACAGTTTAGTGAATACTTTATCAGACATACTATGTATTGATATTGATCACGTGTCTATTGCGATATATATTATTGATTTACTCTCCAGTTCTATCTTTTATTAACCTGTTTTTCTAATAACTTCATTTATTTGACAAAAACAACATTTTTACACACAAATCATAATGTGTCCTTTTCAAGAAAACCCCCACTCTCAGTGAAACAGAAATGACCTTGATCATTAAGTTCCTCATCAGCGTTGACAGAGGAGAGGGGAAAAAATCAGTAGAGCCAGCAGGACAAAAGATTTAATCCCCTGCTTTACACCAGTCAGCAAGCCAAGGTTCAGTTAACCTGCCAGAGAGCAAAAACGAAACAAATCAGTCCTGGACAGGCACTAATGAGAGCCAACGTGGCTTTAAAAACGAGCCTTACAACTCCAGCTCTACCACAGCTAAAACTGCATAATGTCTATTAGATCAACTCTCCTTCATTAAAGCTAAGAACCCTCCTTTTGGTATTCATTTAATTTAAAAGCAAGAATCTCTGGATCTGGTGATCAAAAGGGGAGCAGTAAAACGTTGTAGTGCTGCGGCGTGTTTGAATTAAGCAGCGCTGAGAGGTGAAGCACACTCAACTTCTGCCTGAATGGACACTAAAGGCTGACTGGGGACTGACGGCTGCAGGAGGAACAGATTTATGCTGCTAACCCGACTCAGTGAATTAAACACAAGATTAAAAAACGACGGCAACCACATCTAATGTCTCAAATATAACAAATATCATCTCTAATTACCCTGAACCATGGTTGCACCCAAGCCTGTGTGCATTTCTGCTGCCATACAGAATTGTACTAATATTAATTACATCTGCTGATGTTGAGATTGTTCCTCCTCCTCCTGTCTGCATCAAAATAAAAAAAGCAGCAAACTATAACCTCTTGTTCTAACTTCCAGCTTTCACAGCAGAAATCCTTAGAACTGTTTTAGAAAAGTTAGATGGGCTGTATATTAAGTATTTTCCAGGCACATAGTGAGATTTTATAGGGAAATCAAGTAACTATGTTACTTTCAGTTGTTAGAAAAATCCTTCAATTTGACTTAAAAGAAAATCGACTGTGCAATTTAAGGCCTTGATATTGGGACACTGTCTCTTTAAGAAGCTCCTGCTCTTTCCGACACTCAGCCTTTGGTATTTCATCAGAACAGTGCTCCTCCATGATGCTGCTAACCTTCGCTCTTAGAAGCGTTTCACTGAGAAGTAGTTCCTATGCTGAGATCAGCAGCCTTACAGTTCCTCCAGGTGTTTCCTAATTGCTGCTGCCGCTAGTCTAGAGGAGCTGAGTGAGGCAGAAGCTCAACTGGTGACTTCAGCTCCAAGGAGGACCTCTATGTAAATACTCTTTCTAGTGGTGCGTTCACACCAATTGATTTTCATTCAGAATAAATGTGGAGGTGCGTTTCGCAGCGCAATCTGAAGCATTTGAGAGTTTTGAGCATTTGATGCGTCAGGTGTGTCCAACAAGCAGGCCGGCAACGGAAAACAACGGCTAGAGCGATTCTGACGTGTCTGATGCGCCGTTGACGCACCTCCACATAGACTTTGAATATAAACCAGACGCGCAAAACGTGTTTGGTGTGAATGCACCATCGTCTGCATTCAAGGTGCACAGGCATCAAATCTGAAGCGTCGGACGCGTTTTTGGTGTGAACGCACCACGAGAGTAAACGTTGCCAGCGGAGACACATTCACATGAATAAATGAGAAATAAATGAGAAATTCCTTTATTGTCATTTTGCAAGAAAGAACAGCATTTTTAAAAAGCAACTCTCAAAGGCAGTGTAAATAAATAAGTATATTTAAATAAATATAGTAAAAAACAAACAAAAACAACAGGGATGTTCAGAAAACTATGATCAGGTTTTGGAAGTTGAAAGAATCAAAGCAAAACTCCAGGTAAGTTTTTGATGAGAGAATGACATTATAATATGAAATAAGCATTAAAATAAAAAATATATACATGTAAAAAATAAATAAATTTTTATAAAAGTTACCTACTGTAGTTTTAACTGTAGGAATTACTTCCTTTACTCTGCAGATCGCAAAAAGTGGAAGTCTATAACTTAAAAGCAATTGTAGATTATAAAACCAGTCTGTAGATGGGATTAAACTCGAGTTACTGGAACATAACGGTTACTATATTCTTCCAAAGTAGCCTCCATCCACATAGCTCTACACTGAGGGTTCAGGGTAATCTCAAAAGTACTATCTTCTGCCTCAGTAATCTGGTTTTACCCTGATTCAGGGGGTTAATTTATGGCCTATGAATACTTTAATCCTGGAGAAATTTTCCCACAGTGGAAACGTACCTAAACGTCTCGCAGTCTGCTGCCAGGTCTCTAGAAAGCCTTCAGTTGTTGTTTCACTGTTTAATCTTTTTTTTTAATAGTAAACTGGATCTCTGTCACAATGAAATCAGATAAAGTTTAACCATAGTTTGGTTAAACTATTGTTTAGTTTGCCTCTTTTATTACTCTGATCAAAGTGTGTATTTTTAGAGGAAATACAAAAATTCACTGGTTTTGCTATAAACACGTCTGACCCAACGCCGATGCTGTTCGAAGAGTTTGTCTGTTTTCATGACTCTTCAGATCCCGACCCATAGCAGACCCTCCTCATTTAATTGTGGCAAAATTGGTCTAATTTGTCTAGAATAATTTGTTCTGGTTTCTTTAATGTTTGGGGTAAAGTCTATTTTGCTTTCTTTTAGGCTAATAAGTGATTTACCCTTTTACTGAACTCTTTAGTTAATTTTTGTTTTTTGCTTGTTTCAGCTAAATTAGGAGTTCTTTAAAGTTTACAGCATGAAAAAAACACTAATAAATAGCCTGCAGTTCCTCCTTAAATCACTTTCAACTATAGTTTTCTAAGTTAACTTCCCCATCTTTCACTTACTTTGCTGGTCCTTAAAGTTGAGGCAGTTACATTTTTGTTGATGATTTCTGAGCTTTTCATTTTGTAATGGTTTGGTCAGCTGATATTGATTATAAATAATTTAAAATTGTCTTTAAGAACTGTGTTATAAGCATTCAGATATGTTTTCAAGCTTGTCATAAACGGTCAGTAACTATTTATTATAGGAGTCATTTATTTCACACTGTGAGTGTTAGAGAGGCGATGTTGCTCAACAATTGAAAAGATTTAACTTTAAGCTGTCTTTAGCATTTTAAATGAGTTAGCACAGTTAGCATAGCCATCAACAGACAATTGTAAAATATAAAACAAAGCAACTTGGCTGAACTTCATTCTGCCTTCCTGTTATCTGCTGAAAGTCTGGCTCTCTCTCACCCTTCAGCAGCCAGAAGTTTTATGGTGGATTGTGCATCATAAAACTTAAGAACGTTATGTAAATTATTTGTTTTCATAATAACAAGACAAAAATCAACAAAATCAAATTAAAATACATTTTAGAACATGAATTATTTTATTCAACATTCAAATTTGTCATCAAGAAGGTGAAAGAAGACATAAAAAAAATAATTTTATTTGAAGTTTGAGATCCATTTGGTATTTTAAACAATATTTTGGAAAACATTTTCCTGCAAATATTTCTAAATGTATTCTAAAATATAATTTGCACAACAAGTGCATGTATTAGTGATATTTTTTAGTATCTGTCCTCTGACTCTGGTCCTATATAGTCACTGATTGAAATAAAAATTATTTTTTTTTAGCAGCCATTCACCAGCCAGTTCTTATAAAGATGAAAACTGACCAGATATTTTTTCTTGTGCATCTTTAGTCATAATCCAGTTATTTTCTACAGTTAAAGTGCAGGTCAAGAGTTGCTTTTTGAACAATAAATGGCAAAAACAATCATCTTTAAATGCTTTTGAAATTAATTTTTAGAGCAGATAAAAATAGACGAGTGAAGCAGATTTGCCATAAAGCCAGACGAAAACGCCATTGTTGAGAAAGAAAACGATAAGCGCGGCAGATCACCGAGCAGCTCGTGTTTAACAGTAAAACCAACTTGCAGAAAGAAGGAAAAGACACCAACTCCTACACAACAGATTCACTGCTATCAAGGAGAGAGCCAGAAATTACTCTCTCTGCTCCGCAGAGTAAAAGTGCGACTTTGTTTCTTCTTTGTTTCAACACAAATAAAACTGAACCCATCTGACCTTGTTTTTGAAATAATTGTGTAAAATTGGGTCCTGATCTTCTGCAGGGGGTCAAATAGAGAGAAAAATCAACAGATCAGCTGTAATAACGACGGCAGCAAACAGCTCCTGATTCCTGGAGCTCCTGTGGAGTCAATAATGAAAACTGCTTGTGCTGCTCAATGTCACACCAAGGATATCAGTCCAGAGACACAGTAAACCCACAATCCCTCGGCTGACTCCTGCAGCCAGCTGACACTGCTGCACAGAGGTCATTCGTACTCATTTTCAAAATGTGCCTCAGCAACCCCCTGATAACATTTTTTTTATTTTTTTTTTGCTGCATCTTCAGAAAAAAAAGGAAAAGCCTCAACAGCAGGACATTTCTCAAATCCTGGCTCTCCACAGAAGCAGAGGAGAAGAAGGTCCGTCTCTCTTCCTATCACAACATTTGCATATCAAAGGAAAACCTCTGTCAGCACAACAACCGAGAGACGTTAGCATGCAGAAACGTGAGACATAGCGCATTAATGCCACAACGCGATCAACAAACATGATTCATATTCTACAACAACAAGCAGCACAAAAACATGTCAAAGCTTGAAGATTTCAGAGTGAATGAAGCAAAGAGTTTAATCCATCTCTTGCTGCACGCCTCCAGTCAGCTGGCTGAAAGGAGACTACTCTTTTCCTTTGCTTACAAAATATGCAAATTTGGCTGGTTGGAAAAATTATCTTACAGAGAAGCATAACTAACGGAGTGCCACCTATCAGTCTTATTCACTGCAACAACACAAAATCTCACCCAGTATTTCAGGTTGAGTTCCTACTACAGATGTACACCTGAAAAAAAGAGAAAACTAACTCACAATTAACTTCAGCAAGAAACATGAGCTTGTTTTAGCTCAGAAATGTATTAGTACTGATGAAAAAGCGTCAGTGAAATAATCTGCCAGAGGAACGAAACATTTTAACTAGCAATATGGAAAAAATGTTTAGTACTTTTCCATTTATATTAAGGACCTAAACAATATTCTATATATATCTTGCTGAAAAGTTACTTGTAAATTAGTTTTTATCTTATTTCCAGATATTTGCATTATAAACTAGACCAATAATAGGCAACATTTTGTGTTTTTGCAGTGTTGAAAGCTACATTTGTTTGCTCAGGTAAGTGCAAAGCACCAACTAACATTTAATTTTCTCTGGTTTTAGAATGGAAACCACTGGGTTCATATTTTAATGGTAGCACATAGTGTTTTCGTGGTGGAAAATAGCTGGAAAAGAGGCTGCAGTGACAGCTTGTTACAGTCAAAGTTTTACTCAGTAAACAACGTGAATACAAAAATGTAAAATATAAAAAATAAAAGCAAATAAATGTCACAATAATATAACAGTTAACAGTGGAAGCAATGTCTGTTGCTTCTCTGGTTTAAAGAAAATCAATTGTATCATGTTTTTGAATTATTATGTGCATGTGGAGAAGCGTAATAATTTATGATAAATGATCAAACTGTGAGAATCTGAACCTGCTGTTAATTATCACAACAGCAGGTTCTGATTCAGCAGATTGTTTTATTGTAACAAACATTAACAGATTTACCTCAGTGATTTGTTTATTCTCACTCATCGGTGAAAGAGACATTTGTGCCTCATCCTGCATTAATATGAATCAGAAATAAAACATAAAAACCTCCTGAGCTGCAGGGCTCTCCACCTCTGCTGGTTGTATTTCCTGGCTGATGCGCGTAAAACCAGGTCACAGCAAAGGCTCAGCCTGACACTAAGCGAGTGCAACAAAGTGGAAGTGTAGCAGCCAGCAAGATAAACAAAATCTGCAGAGCGCACAATGTGTGGAGTAACGTCGCTGCTCAAACTCTGTTCTGTATTTCAAAGGAGGAGAGAAGGAGCAGTGAACTCTAGATTTATACGAAATGACTGGAATTCGAAGCATTTATTACCATTATTACGTTACTTTAATGAGTTCAACTCTTGTCACACGACTTTTAGAAACCTGCTGCAACTTCATCCACAATTATTTGATCTCCTGTACTTGTAGCCATAAGTACAAATATTGTTAATATTTTGCAAATATTGTTAATATTTCTCTAAACTCTTCCTATGCTTGATATCCCGTTCACACATATTTCAGTGAGTTTACCTGCGTCAGATTCGTTAGAAGAGCTGGTGGTGAATGAACAGGCGAAACAATAAATTTGATTTAAATAAAAAAAACGTATTAAATGAATAAATTAACATCATATAATTACATCCAGACAAAATTATACCAACGACAGAACAATTCCTCCAAGCATTTGCATTTCAAAAGATGTCAAAAACACCACAAAAATAAATAAATCAAGGAGAGTTTAGACAAATTGCTGCGTGGGAAGAATTGCTTTCCCTCGCAATGATGTTCTAGTCAAAGCAGCATCTTGAATACTGACGGGTAACAAGGTTTCTACTTTAAGGTTTTATATCTACATCTCGTTTGTGAGTTATCTGAAGTTTTATATCTTTTTTCTTTAGGATACAAATCCACCACAAACTTATGTACAAAATGCAAAAGTAAATAAACAGAAACGTTCCATAAGAAGGAAAGATAGAAAGAAAAAATACAAGTATGGATTATTTTTGAGTTATTTTTTATCAGATATTGTCGCCATCTTAGTTTTGGTTTTGTCCTTTAATCTGAATGGTATTTCCACCAAAAGATATTACACAAACAAACATGAACACAAAGTCAAGAAGTCGATTTTCGACCAGTTTTCTGCACCAAAGTGTTAAAAATGTATGAAAACATTTTAAATTTTAAATTGATGTGCATATAAAGTAGACCAAGATGTATTTGTTAATTTATTGCGAATGAACGCAAAACTTTTCCAAGTTAATGCAAAAGAAAACAATTCCCTCATTTCCGTAAAAGGAAAATTTTAAACAACCTTTAGAAAATCTGATTGGTAAGACTTATAATAAATTCTGGGTATTATTGTAAAGTAATAAAGGATGATTTATCACTGCTGCAACATGATGTGTGTATATTAAAAACACAATTTCCACTTTTTTAATAAACTGAGACCCTGCAGCCCCTTTAAATTAGGACAACAGGGACTTGGGGTGTGATATGTGTCCAATTATTAATTTCTTAAAACATAATCACTCCAAACAGAAAATGGGTTAAATCAGGGATAAATAAGAGGCCTGGTAAAAAAAAAAAAAAAAAGGGCAGCGTCACCAGGGGAAACGAGTGGACACAAAGACACGGGGGGGGCGGCTGCAGACAGGACCCTGTCCCATTGTCTGCTGGGACACGGAGGACAAAGCAGGACAACACCAAGATATATGCAAGCTCCGCAAGACCTCACCCCAGCAATGTGCCGACCCTAATCCCTGACACCGTTTCCCCTCCTAACCCCCGGATGATGTCATCGCCGCACCTGACCGGACCCATCCGGACCCATCCGGACAATCAGGAGGTTCTGCCGCTGAGAAACAAGGCGGCAGCAGGAAACTGAATACTCTCTCAGCGCATCTGTGTCCCGAATCAAAGGGTAATGACGACGGTGTCATGTGGCGCCGAGGTTTTAAAGCACAGAGGGCCTCTGGAGTGTGGCAAGGCCTGACTTTACTCCTGCAAAAACACAAAGTTCGACCAAATACCTACTGCAAATACCTTAGTTCACTTTAAACAAGACAAAAATAACTTACAAGCAACTTTGCAGCAAGATGTAGCAGCTTGTTTTCAGTTCTGTCCTCGGTTTGTATAATCTTAATTATCTGATTAGTGGTGTTTTTATTGAGTTGGACTCAATGCTGTCCAGCTGTGATAAAAAGCCAATTATTTTAAAGTTCTTGTTTATTCACATCTGTTGCCTTTTGTACGTCAAAATATTCCAACATTTCTTCCATCATTTGCCTTTTATTTTAAATATATTTAGTTGTAAGCAATGCAACAGCAAAGACCAAAAAACAAAATGACAACTTTTTGCACAAATTTAAAGTTGCAAAAGAAAGAGAAAGAAATTGAAAAGTAAACATTACGTGTGTACATCAATAATTCCTTAATGCTGATGAAAAACAACTAGTTCCAGTGAAACCAGAATTTTTTTCATCAATATTAAGGAATTATTGACTTAAACAAGCTGCTACATGATGCATACAAACACATTTTACAAAACGGGGGCGAGACAAGAAACGTCCTCCTCAGTCAGTTCTTTTGCTTGTTTATTTTCAAGGATAAAGCACCAAGATTTTAAAAACAAGCTTATAGCCAAAACTATATTAAAATAGGAGGTCAGTAAGATCAGCTGCATTTCCATTAAACGTAGAACTGCACAACTTGAACTTACAAAAATAAATTAACTTAATGGAAACACGGCAATTTGGAAATTTTTAGATAAAAAGTTTTTGCATTAGGAAACACTGTTTTCGCATCATACACAGGATCAACAGGAAGTGGTAGCACAGTTTGTGCTGCTGGCTCCATCAGCTCTTCATAAAAGGTTTTGAGTCAGTCTAACGTGTTGAATCCACAGCTCCTCTATAAAATCCCCGACTACAATTTCTCCAAAACGCCGCACACGTAGCCGCTTCTTGTCCCTTTGCAATTACGTCACTCGATCGTTCAAGGCGCCATGATGGACGTCGGAAGTGAGGGTCGGGAGTGTTGAACTGAGCGACTGAAAATGTTTTCCTAAAGTGCACAAAGGTATTTCCACTAGCCCAAAAATACTTGTTAAGATTCTGTGTTTTTGCAGACATCTTGTGGGAACTGTTTTGCGGCTGATCCCAATGCATGTCCAGTGGAAACTTCCTGCAGGACAGGTCAGGGCGCCCTGAGCACCACAGGTCTGCAGAGGGCCTTACATGCTTCATCGGTAACAGGGAACAGGGGGACAGTTGCTCTTTAGAAGTTTATGGGCCTCCCCTCCCCCTCATTCGCTCCACAAAGGAGGCCTAACCCGTTGTCCCCACCCACGAGGAATTTCTCAGGCATTGCTGGGCTCTCCATGACAACTGGGTGCTTAATAAACCATTTCTCTTAGGCATTCTTCCTTTCACAGGGGGGACAACAGTCAAAGCAGGGAGGAAGGGGGAGAAGGGCGGAGGAGCTCGAAATGATTGGAGGGAACAGCGGAGGCTGCAGGGGTGAGACTCGGATAGATAGAAGAAAAATGGAGAGCGGTGACAGAGGGGGAAACAAAAAGACGTAAAGAGAAAGAGGATCAAGGTGATGCACTGCAAAAACACAAAAACTTACAAGAATTTCTGGTCTGGTTTCCAGTGCAAACAAACTCCTAAACAAAGCAAAACTAACTTACAAGTAACTTTTCAACAAGATGTTGGAGCTGATTTAAGTAAATGAATGTATTAATACTGATGAGAAAGTACCAGATCCACTGGCAGATTATTTCACTTTAAAAAAAAAATCTATATTAAAGGGGCAGTATTATGTGTTTTCCAGGCACATAGTGAAGTTTTCTAGTATATCTACCTACCTATATATATATGACTTAAAAGAAATTGTTCTTCCTGATTTAACTCCTTGAAATTGGGCCTCTGTCTCTTTAAATACTCCTCTTTCTGAAACTCCGCCTTCAGGAAGTCAACACAACATGGCTCCTCTATTAACCCTTTAAAGATGTTTTTACCAGAGTTTCACTGAGAAGTCGCTCCTGTAAAGAGCTCTGCTGATGCTCAGCTCCACCAGATGTTTGCTAATTGCTGCTGGCTAGTCTGTAGGAGCAAAGTGGAAGCTGCTCTTTGAGGCGGAAGCTTGGAAACTACATCCCAAGGATGGCTGAATGGTTGCCACGGAGATTTAAGGATTTCTCAAACATGCATGAAAGAATCAAGGCAACACACCAGGTGTGTTTTTGAAGGAGGAATTATGACATTATGTAAAGCTAAAAAAGTCAATTTTAGTATTACTGACTTAAAACAAGATCCTATATTTACTGAAAAGTTATTTGTAAGTTAGTTTTGTCTTATTTCAGGTGTGCTAAGGTATTATTTGCAATAGAAACTGGACAAAAGGATACTTGGTGAGATTCTGTGTTTTTGAGTGTAGGAAGTTTGTGGCACCAGAGATTCAAAGTGCGACTAAAGCCGAACAACGAGGGCGAGAGAGAAGAGAAGAACGGATGATCCTGGTCTGCAGACTACGACCGAATCCTCTGACTGAAGGGCGAAGAAAACAGGCATTAAGAAGAAGAGAGATTCACACACACACACGCACATCCACACACACACACGCACACACACACACACACACACACACACACACACACACACACACACACGTATTTCCAGTTGCCTGAGAAAGTTCAGGAAAAAACAAAAATGTATTAAAATATTCAGTCAGATTAATCCCACTGTAGCTTTACATTATAAGCTTGAAATATAAATAATTTATTTATGTTTTCGAAAATGTTTGAGAATCTTTAGACAATTTGGTTGAAGACAATAAAATATTTCCTCAGTGTCCCAGATTTTCATTTTCTGGAAGGTTTATAAGAAGTAATTTTGTTTCAAGCGTTAATTTAGAACTGCTTGTGCTTCTGTGAAAGGATAATTCACCGTTTCACAAACAAACGGTACTTTGGTTTTATTCAAACTTCCATCAGTTTGTTTTTTAAAACAAAATTTGCCTCCAAACACATTAATCTAATATTCAGTGAATTTTATGCTATAGAACAGTAACCGGATGTAACTTGTGTTCTTTAGATGTTATACTTTGGTTTTCCACCTCTGCCTATTTTTATATTTATTTTCTGTAAACCTTCCTTGATGATTTAGCTGACAAAGTTTCAACTTTACACCATTTTTTATTCCAGTTTTGAGTCTGAATTAAGATTCTTTTCTCTTCATAGTGGCTGCTGATTGGAGACAGAGTACATTAAGAAACAATTATTTTAATTCATACAAATGAGCGAGTGAATAGTTTTGATGCCCAGCGATGATTATCTAAACATGCAATCTGAATACAGAAAAAGGTTATGCTTTTTTATTTGGCTTTACTTCTATTAATATCTGGTGTTTTTGCTTATTTATTCCCATTCCTCTGTCAGAATATCACACATTGAAGCTTAGATGATTCAGGTGTAGAGCATTAAAATATGCCAAACAATCAGGAAGTGATAATACGGACTCAGTCGTGCGGGTTTTATTGTTTGCTCGGGTCGCCAGCCGCCTCACACATTTCCATTGGTGAAGGAGTTTGAGCTTCACCTTGAACTCACACCCGGCTTCTGAGAGATAAAATCCCTGCTGTCGGCCGATCGGAGAGCTTGTACAACCAGCAGTGAGGTGTGATCTGAATCAAACCGCAGCCATTAGTCTCAGACGCCTGTCTGTGCATTGAATCACTGAGCAAAGATGGAAAACATAATTTCAGACATAATTTCATTAAAGAGTCTCTGCAGTCGGGGAAAAGTTTGGAGCATGTTTTGGCAGAGCGGAGAATTTCAACGTACCTGTGCCAGACCCAAAATGGTGACTTTTTAATGCAAGGAATGCATAAAGATTGACACATAAACAAAACCACTGACTCCACAACAAATAGAGCCCATATTCCAAATACCAAAGATAATAAGCTGCTGAGTAGTGAGGGGGAATAATTAGCTTCTCTCTCTGGATGAGAACGATCAGGGCTTTCCGCCGGGGGAAGAAATCTCTGCAATCAAATGCAAACAGGCACTTATGCAGGCTCACGCTTGCCTGGGAACGCTGAATGAGCCCCTGCGTATGTCAACACCAGACTGAAACATCCAGGATACAGATGCACGGATCTAATCCTGCAGATGAAGACCTGTATCTCGCCTGCTGTGTGACCAGCATTCTGCTAACAACCTGGAGAAAAAAAACACAGCCAAGCCCTCTTCTGCCCTGGAAAAATTAATTCACTCCCACTCGTAAGAGAAACGAGTTTATTAAGAGTATCATCTTGCAGTCAGTGTCTGGATACTAGTGTCATAAATCTGGCTTCCTAACCGGCTCGTGTAATTAATTCGTCAACATTACATATTTATGCACCACTGGCAGCAAATCCCCCAGCTGTGTGGCTGCAATGTGCCTGATTATGCCTCTGTGTGATTACAGTGTTTCATTACAGTGTCATGTTAAAACATCTGAACGAAGCTCAGCAGGAGTCTGTCCGTTGCTGCCTGTCAAAGTTATTTCTGAACCTTTGTTTTGAAGCAAATGTTTGTTTTTATTATCGGTTTAGCAGCTTCTGTTCATGTGACCTGCAGAAATGAAAACCTGGATGTTAATATTGTTGGTATCCATCACCACTTCCACTGATATTCTCCTTATTCTCCTGTAACATTTGAGAGGAGTCGCTGTGTATAATTTAAAAATATGCCACCTTTTTTATTTAAAGCTGCAGTGTGAGACGTTTAGAAAAACAGACATATTTGACATATTTGCTAAACATGTAGTGACAGTTTGATATGAGACAGATAATCTGTGAAAAGATCGAGGTCCTCCACCTCCCCCCTGAGCTGCTACTGCAGAAATGCTCAGATCCCGACCAAAACAACCAATCAGAGCCAGGAGGCGGGGCTTGACGCTCTCAATAATCCTAATGTTCTCGCTGCTAAATGTGCTAATGGCAGAGAAACAATTTACTTTTACAGGAAAACCGTTTATCCTCCATCATCAAGTGGCTATGCTAACTAGCCTTAGCATTCAGGATGCTAAGACCCGCCTCCTGGCTCTGATTGGTTGATTCTAGCCAACACTGGGAGAAAGCAGAGGAGATCAATTTTCTTCATATTATCTGTCTCGTACCAAAGTATCACGACATAATTACAGTTTCGACAAACATTTTTATAAAAGTTACAGTCTGCAGCTTTAATTATTGTTTTACCAGGTAAATTAATCGAGAATAAATTCTCATTTTCAGCAACGACCTGTTCAGAAAACGTCTGACAACAGAATATCATGCAGCAGAAAATAGGAGAATATATTAAAATAAAGAGAGAGCCAACAGTATTTAAGAGCAGATATGTCGATCATGTGCTACGGTTTTTACTGAGTTGATAAAAGTCATTACTAAAGTTGAAATACTTCTGAATGAGTTCATTTTATATCCGCTTCAAGAATCACTCTTTAATGTGATACTAAATGTTTTAAACAGTAAAATACCTTCATAACATCAATAAACTAAAGCAAGATAAAGTTACCTCAGTTATAATAGTTTGGGATTTTTTAATAGTTTTATTTCATTGTGATTTATTAGTTAAATATAGTTTAGTTTCAGCTTAATTTTTATGAGTTATAATATATTGGCTTTTTCATACTTGTGTTAATTTTTAGGTGCAAATGTAAAACAGGTATTTTATTGTGATTGTGTACATCAGTTAGGTAATGAATACTTAACAGAAGATAATGTTTCCAAAAGATTAATTCAGTTATTGCTGAACAAACAGCTGACTCTGTTTTTGCATTAAGTCCCACTAGGAGGAACATGGAGAGACGAAATGTGCTGACAACTGACGCAAACTGCTTGTGTGGAAAAATGCATAAAAGGCTAATGAATAGAAAAAATAACCTGCTCTCTTCTCATCTTAATGTAAACTGTTGTAAATAAAACAAATCGTAGATTCATAAACACAAAAACGAAGGGTGTTATATCTCTAATTTCACTATGTTTTAATTAGTTTTATAAACTCACAATACATGTCCAGTTAGTTTTAGTTTCCCCCCATTAATTACCGTTTTTATTTATTTCAGTTAATGAAAATGTTTTCGTTATTTCGTTTATTTTAGCTAACAGCAATTATCTTGTCCGTTTCACGAGAACATCGTTGAAAATTGAGCCTAGAAAGGATGATGGTACAAAGAGACCATTAAAAATCATTTATCATGGGGGGCCTCCTAAAAGGGAACATGGAGGAGAAAAGAAAGGCGGGACCTGGGAGGTCCCTGCAAGATGAGGCCCCTGGAAAATTGGGGTCAGCCGCATCCAGAGACGCTCCTCTTCCTGTTTCTTCTTCTCCTGCTTTTACAGTACAGCTACATGTTCCTTCCTCTGCCCTGTTTACACAACACGTCCTCCCTCCCTGCTCCTGTCCCCCTCCATGTCCTTCTGTCTCCGCCAGGGGAGCAGACACATAAACCGCAGCAGGTGCTGGACGCGCCGAGGGAGACCTGGCCTCTAATTGGTCCTCAGCGGAGTCACAGCTGTTGCCTCAAACCTCAGCCTGGTATGAGCCGCGGCCCCCATCGCTCCATTGACAGCTCACTATTGTTCTCCAGACGGGCAGCGCTGAGCCACAAAGTACGCTAACAACTGCCCACGCTAACCACGCGCTAGCTGCTCCTCAGGGACAACGCACCGTCCAACAGGAGAGCCTTCAAACACCGACAGCCACTCTCACCTCTCTTGTTTCCAGGATTTCATCGAGATGTTTGTGGATTTTATCACGATGTTTGTATTACTATAGAGATAACGATAAAAATGACGATAATATTTATAGGTAGCTGCATGACACATCACCCATATGCCAAAAAATGCTTTTCTTTAAAAATGATTTCTTCATAAACAGCAGTGTGATTTACATCACTAAGCTGCACATAGACTTCAACTAATCAGATCTTTTAATTTACTGATATTTTTTTATGCACTCATGAAAAAAACATAGGATAAAATAGTAAAAATGACATTTTAGTCAGTTTTTTTATCATTAACTAAAATGTGTCGTGACAGCAATGAATCAAAGTTTTTCACAATAAATGTCAAACGATGCGATAAATGCTCACTTCTTCCTCTAAATGTCCAATGTTTAATTTAAGCTGACAGTTACTTTTCGTGTTGTGCCAAGGAGTCCAATCAGCTCCAACATCTCACACAAATACACACGCGCAAACACGGACACATGCACGCTTGCAAACACACACAAACACACACACGTGTGAGTTCAGTCTCTGTTTAAGAGAAAATTAACCTTGATTGTTTACTATTGCTGTCAAGAGTTCAGAATTCATATTACTTATTTTAATTTATATTCTGATGATCATCCAAATGTGACGACTGTTTAAAAGTTCATAAACATTTTTGAGATTGGAGTCGTTTTCCCCTTCATCTCTGTCTCTTTTTGGCTAGCTGTTAGCATCAAAAACGAACCAATCACTTGTCCACAGCAGGTGAGATATTACCTGTCTACAACCTTTCACCCTAACCTCAAACACTGAACTACACTGCAAAAACACAAACATCTCACCCAGTATTGTTGGTCTAGTTTGGTGAAAATATCCTACTACACTTTCAATAAGACAAACCTAACTTATAAGTAAGTTTTCACCAAGACATAGGAGTTTGTTTTATGGCAATATTTTGTCAATGTTGATGAAAAAGTACTACTTCCACTGCCAGATTATTTCACTTTTAAAATGGGCAGAATATCTTGTTATATAATCTGCCAGTGGATCTTGTATTTTTTTCACAATATTAAGGGATTTTGTTTACTTAAAACAAGCTCCTATGTCTTGCTGAAACGTTACTTTTAAGCTAGTTTCGTCTTACTTCAAATATTTGCAGTAGAAACAAGACAAAAGTACTTGGTAAGAGTTTGTGCTTTTGCATTGTATCCTTCCAGACACGTGATAAAACATCGATTTCCAAAGGTCTAGTCAAGTGAAAAGAAGCCAATCAAACAAAAGCCCTGTTGCATACCATTCTGACTCTTCATAATCTGGGTAAATTGATCATAATTGACTTCGGCCTTCATTGTATGCAGGAATGAGGCTTTGATAAAAAATTAAGGAGGATGATCAGTCTGGCCAGCAGAGCATAGATCCCACAGGACACAGACGAGCTCAGACTAACAGCTATTTAAATCAGTAGACGGCACTAAAACAGACCTGGGTAAAAACAGGATGTGCTTAATTAATTGTTAATTATGGTCCATGATTAACAACGAATAACAATAAATGATTGAATCTGATTTCCCCAAGACAGGAAGGTTTACATGTAATAATCTTCCCTCATGCATACATCAAACTTAAATTTGTATAAAATAATTGCCATTACTCTGTGAAGGCAAGTGAAAATGTAAACGAGACAGGATACTGCTATAGCACGCCTCACTGGCTTCATCTCATATTACTCCACTCACAGGGTGGAGGCTGCAATTATCCAGCCGTCTCACCTGACACGGAGATCCGCATGGAGGCCTCCAGGGGCCGGTTGTTATCCAGGGCCTGGCTCAGCTGGATCTCCCCGGTGCTTTGGTTCAGCAGCACCAGGTTCAGCTCGTTCCCCACCTCGAAGTTGTAGTGCAGCTGATCCGAGACGTCGGGGTCGTGGGCCGGGATGCGTCCGATCACTCCGGTGGGGAAGCTGCTGGATTTGTCCGTCACGTAGTTGTTGAAGATGATCTGGAAGTTCTTTAGCACCGGGACATTGTCGTTCTTGTCTACGAGTTTGATGTGGACTGTGGCCCGGCTCACCAGAGGGGCAGAGGTGGCCTGGACCACGATGGTATACTCAGACTTCAGCTCGTAGTCCAGGTCTATGAGTGCAGTCAGTTCCCCGGAGAAGATATCCAGCTGGAACACCTCTGGGATGTTCCCCTCCACGATCTGATACATAATCTGCGCGTTGCTGCCTTCATCTGGGTCTGTAGCCAATATATGTGCAACCACAAGACCGATGGGGCTGTTTTCTTCCACCATGATGTCAAACTCGTCTCTTTCAAACACAGGGGGGTTGTCGTTCACATCCAAGATCATCACTTGAATGTTCACAGCTGTCTTCAGAGCGGGGACACCTTTATCTACAGCAAAGGCCTGCAGGCTATAGACAGGCACGTTTTCTCTGTCTAACCTGCGCAGCGTGCGAACAATGCCAGATGTGGATTCAATTATGAAGTCTCCATCTCCGTCGTCCCCGCCCTGAAAGGTGTAGAAAACACGTCCGTTGAGGCCAGAGTCCCTGTCAATGGCAGAAACCTGCACCACGCTGGTGAACACCGGCACGTCCTCCATCACCGACCCCACATAGTGGTCTCTCAGGAAGCGGGGCGAGTTGTCGTTGACGTCGTTCACTAGGATCTCCAGGTAGGTTGTGTCGGATTTCTGTGGGATGCCGTTGTCCCGAGCGGTGATGGCCAGAGTGTAGGAGACCTGGTCCTCGTAGTCCAGCTCCATCTGGGTGGTGACAGCTCCGGTGTCAGGGTTGATGTCAAACTGAGGGATGCTGTCGTCCATTACGTAGGTAATGCGTGCATTCTCGCCCGTATCTTCATCGGTGGCGCTGATCACAACCACGGTCGTGGCCACAGGCCTGTCCTCGTTGATGTTGACGGTGTAGTGTGAGCTCTGGAAGACAGGGCGGTGTGTGTTGGCATCTGTGACGTTCACGAAAACCTTGGCTGTGTCAAAGCGAGTGCCATCGCTTGCAGTGACTGTAAGGATGTACTGGCGTTCCAGTTTGTAGTCCAAAGGTAGAGCGAGTGTGATGAGGCCCCCTCCACTCTGACTTGTGATGGAGAATCGGTTGCGAGTGTTCCCACTGGATATTTGGTAAGTCACCACGCTGTTGATGTCCTGGTCCACAGCTGACACTGTCACCACGCTGGTCCCCACAGCTGCATCCTCATTCAGACGCATGTAGTATGCTTTCTGCGTGAACTCTGGGTTGTTGTCGTTGACGTCCAGAATGGTCATGCTGATGCTGGCGGACGAGGACATGACAGGGTAGCCATGATCGCAGGCCTCCACTCCAAAGTTGTAGAAATCAACACTCTCCCTGTCCAGCTCTGCCGCCACTACAATCCACCCTGTGCTGTTGTTGATGGCGAAGGGGAAGTTGGGTGTGGTTTCAGTGAGGCGGTACTCCAACCTGGAGTTTTCTCCAGAGTCGGCGTCTACAGCTTGGATGTGAATGATGGAGTAGCCCAGAGGAACGTTCTCCAGCACGGTGGCCTGGAACGGGGTGCTGACAAAGATGGGGGCGTTGTCGTTGATGTCCAGCACCTGCACCGTGACCAGGCCGCTGATGTTGGACAGAGGAGGGCGTCCTCCGTCCTGGGCCCGAATCCTCAGGGTGTATTCTTTGTTGGCTTCATAGTCCAGGTGACTCACCAGGTCCATTTTACCCGTCTGAGCATCGATGTAAAACTGGCCCCGGGTGTTTCCGCTCATGATGCTGAAGTGGACCACAGCGTTGCTGCCCCGGTCCTGATCTGTGGCGGTGACCTGCAGGATCTCTGTGTTTGGTGTCATGTCCTCTGGCACCTGGACCACGTAGCGCTTCTCGCTGAACTGAGGGGCGTTATCGTTATCATCCTCCACCACAATGTAAACGGAGGCTGTGGCACTGCGGGGCCCGGGGTCACGACCCTGGTCGTTTGCCTCCACTAACAGCATATAGGACTCCACCTCCTCTCTGTCTACTAGGCCTTTGGTGCGGATGACGCCGGACCTGGAGTCTATCTCAAAAACTTCATTGGACCCATTGTTGTTGAGGATGTTGTAGAGGATGTTCCCGTTAACAGGTGCGTCCCCATCTGTGGCCCTCACGGTCAACACCTCGTAGCCGATCTCCAAGTTCTCCCTAATGCTTTCTTTGTAGTCCTGCTGCTCAAACACAGGATTGTGGTCGTTGGTGTCACTGACGGAGACAGTGAGGGTCGCCATGGCCGTACGACGAGGTGAGCCATGGTCGACCGCTGTCACACGAAACACATGGGTGTCTTTTGTTTCCCTGTCCAGCACCTCTACTGTTGATACAGCACCACTGGCCGGGTCCACAGCGAAAAGATTGTTGGAGCGGCTGTCAAAGAGAGCCTCAATGAAATACTCCAGCCTGCCGGCCTCTCCCTCATCCACATCCACTGCCTTCAGGACAACCACCGGCGTCCCGGCCGGCTTGTTCTCTGCCACTGACACTTGGTACATTGGGGGCTTAAACTGAGGGCTGCTGTTGATGCTTCTCCTGTTCCTGCTCACAATCCCTGAATCAGACTGAGCTGCCCTCTCTAGGAGCTGCTGTAAGTGCGCCTGGCTGAATGGACCTTGACCCACTCGCCAGTGGATCGAGATGGGTTTAACACCCGCTCCCTTCTCTGTGAGCACGTCACACAGCATGTCCAGCTCCAGAAGCCTGTCCTGCATCAAGCACAGCGGCTCAGACACAAACAGACCCCCCTCTGAGAAGTAAAACTCCCGACTGCTGGGGACCTTGCAGCGGAGCGGGGGCCCAGGCAGCAGACCCCCCACTGGAAATAAAGCAGCGTCTGTTCCGCGGCACTCTGAGCTGCGGCGGCTGAGCAAACTAAGGACTTCCAAGTCCCAATCAGATTTCCTCTTATGCTTATGGGAACAGTTCCTACCGTGAACATGAACGTCATACTGACTGGTGAGGAGGTGTCTGTGTCCCGAGTCCCAGCAGTCCTCAACTATGTATAAAGTGAAGGGGTTTAAAGGCAGCGAGCGGCACCGTATCGAGTCTGATAGGAGCACGATGCCCGCCGCGGCGTCCGTCTCCAGAAAGCGCTGCGCGAACCCAGGAGCGAGAACCTGATCCAAGGCGCACCATGCGCCGCGCTGCTCGCCGGCCAGGACTGTCCTCTCTCCCGCATCCTCGCTGATGTGGACGGTGTAAGCCTGCGCCAGTGAAACCAGTTCATAACACCACAGCATGAGCCGCAGCTCCCATCTAACGAAGTGCATCGCTCCTCAGTTTCCAGTCCGACAAGCGCGCAACTCTGCAGCTCCCCGCTTCTTTAAACTTTCCACCGGCCGCCAGTTTCCCTTTGTTGAGGAAGAGCCATGCTCTCTCCGCTCGCTCTGGAGGTTTGGAAGAGGGGGATCCCGCGGTAACCTTGTCCGGTCAGAGCTGCTCTCACATGGGACAAATACAGTCAGTCAAGTCGGGACAAGAAGCAGCTGCACCTCCGCTCAGTCCACACAACTTCGCTTGAATGATAGAAAAATGGCTTCTGCTCCCTCTGCGCCTTGAGACTTCTCATTAACATAAACCTGCGTGTGTGTGTGTGTGTGTGTGTAAGAGGAAAAAGAGAGAGAGGGAGAGACTCTGCCATTAGAGATAAATGATAACTTTCTAAAAGCTTCATTAACACAAAAAACACAGCCAGACTTCTGTTCAGATTAATGACTCCGCCTGACTTCACAATCAATCGCGTCATTAATTTGCTCAAAATGTAAATGCAATTTGACAGCCATTCAGCGGAAAGCTTCAGGAAACCCTTAAATGCCGTTTATCACCATAACAGCATAAACTGTTTATTCAGTTCTGTTGATTTATAAAAGATGAGCGAACATCAATTATCCTGTGGAAAACGTTAGTATCCAGATATGAACAAAGCGAACAGCGCATCGCAAAAGTATTCATACCCTCCAGCTTTTCCTCGTTTTGTTCTTGAAGAAACCCCGTTGAAGCTCTGCCAAGCTTGAGACTGGGGTGAAACTGTCTTTACATCAAAACATATTCATCAAGAATGGTCTAGTCAAACTTCAGTCAAGCTGAAAATTTGTGGGAAGACTTAAAAAACAACATTTGTATAGTTAGTAGAGACACAGAAGCATTGGGCCAAAACAAAGAATAAAAAAATGACTGTAAGGATAAATATCAGTAAAGTCTTGAAGTGCAGCAGCATAATTATAGTGATACCTCAGGATTACCCAAATTTAACAGATTCAAACATTAAGTTTTATGGGAAAACTCAGGTGTACCAGCAGCAATTTAAATAGAAGCATGCAAATTCAAAATAAGATGAAAGATATAAAAACAAAGTAAGAATAGGAGACGTAAAAATTTACTACATAAAAAATAATGCTATAGTTCCTCAAAATCTAATATGCATGCTTAAAGAAATGTTCAGAGTAAATAGAAATTCAAGATACGTGCATCATTTGTGCAAGACGCTGAGAAGAGAGAGGATTACTCTAAAGAAAACCAGATTACACAAAGCAAACAGCTGCATATAAAAAAGGAACCCAGTATTTGTCTTATTAATGTTTCTAGGTTTTGTGAACGACATCCATTTGTTCCTGGTTTTAAATTCTGGAGGTCTTTTTGAATGACATAAAAGTACACAAATGTGTCATCAGCATAAAGATGACATTTACAGAAATATGAAGATATAAATGATTGGTATAATGACAAATCTGGAGACTAAATATCTCAACAGGCTAATATAACATTTAAGAGTTGCATTAACACTGTGAAATGGGTAAAAAGACAGAAAACTTTGATATTAACTGGATTTACCTCCAGACTAAAAGATTTTGATTCAGTAACACGCTCCTTGTCGTTTTCTTTTAAACATGTAACCTTTTTGTATTTTCTTTCTTCTTGCCTCTTGACCAGGACTCGAAAAACATTTTTCTATATATATCTCAATGGGAATTATCTTGTTTAAAAAAATTAAACAACAATGTAGAAAACAAACAGTGCAGAGATCTGAAATAAGGAGTAAATAACATCAGTTCTTTAAAAAGAGATTGACAATATATCTCAGATTAGTTGCCTTATGTAAACTTATGAAAAGGAAAACGTGTTTGAGAGCTTGTTTTGGGAGAAAAGGTTTTATCTGGATTAAATCCTGTTTTTTTAATAAAATAATAAAAAAAAAACTTAATAAAAAATGACCACAGCATGTTGTTAGACGGGTAGAGAGTTACATTTGAATTAAGTTTAATCAGCTCTAGAGAAAACATAGGCTATTTGCTATAAAACTTTCACATGATATTAGAGCATCATGGGAAACAATGTTAAAGCATCTAAGAAAATATTAACATAAAAACAACTAAATGTCTGAGATCATGACCAAGATGTGGTTTCCTTATATGTAAAACAGTGTCACACTTCTAGAATTATTTCTGGGTGGATGGTTGGCATTTATTTACAATTTTAGTATTGCCAATACTAATACATTTTTATTAAGTTTTAATATTCCATTGTTCTCCCAAATGGCCAAAATTATGCATACTTGATGTTTTAATATCTAGAAAAACCTGTGAAAACACACTAATTGGAAGCCTTTAATCTATGAATACATCTGTATACTTCTGGAGTAATTTCATGGCTTATTTATCCATTCTAGTAATTTAAACCGTTTCCTCTCAGTGTTCTGCATGAGAAAAGTTAGTCCTGACGGAAAAGGTGGAAATATTTTGATATAAATTAATATACTAGAGACATTTGTGACTTTCATACGAACGCCTTTGTAAAGCAGAGTAACAAGCGCAGTCAGATATTTATGTCCGGTCCGACATAAACATTTAACACTGACACCTAGTGGACAAACAGCAGCAGCACAACTAGAAACCACAGGCTTCTGCCAGTGCAACACAGAAAATCGTGAATCTTCTAATTATTTGACTCTGACGTCACTTAACTAGACTGAATCATTCAAGATGAATCAAAAGTTTAAAGGAACCCAAGAACATGAAATAAAGAGTAATTTTAGAGATTAGAAAACGTATGCCTGTACTTTTAACTAAATTCAATACAGCTTGTCAGGTCTAATCTTTACAGTAGATGAAAGAGGAATTCACAAACTAGTGAGTTTTATTTGGAATACAATTTAAAGGTTTATATCAGTAATTTTATATCACTTTTCCACTTCAGAGAAGTGTTTGTTTTAGCCAATAATGCTATTACTTAGTGAATCCTCAAATTCAGCTTCCATGAAAATTAAAATATTACATTCAACCAATAACTTCATTCTGACGAGGCCTAGGTGTCAAATTCAAGTCAGATTTTGCAGTTAATTTAGCATTTACCAAAAGTTGAAATTACATTTTCCACACAGGACCCAAAAAAGGGGGAAAAAAACAAGATATGCGAGAAGAGAAATACTTTCCCACAGCACTTTTTAACAAAGAAACATTAAAATTATACAATATTTAAATTTTTTTAAAATTAATTCCGAGTATGTTTAAAAAGTGTAAATGTAGAGTGTTTCCAACATGTTTTAGCTGCAGAATAATTTGAAGAATGTCCATATATTTGCTATTAAGAGTCTAAACGTCCACTTCTTCCTGTGTAAGACCAAATGAAGACAGAGGAGCAAAGTGTAGCTTTTACAGTTTTTATTGTTGCTGGAGGCTCTAATACAATATGAATCATAAGCTTTACAAAAGACAAAACCAAAAAAAAGAAAAGAAAAAAAGAACAAAAGATTCCCCTCCAAAATGGAAACAAATGTTTCCTCTGAGACATAAAGACAAACTGTGACCCCCCAACAAAAATCAGAAGATGCAGAGAGAAGAAGAGTAGAGGGGGAAGAAACTGTGATGTTTGTCTGTGTGCATGTTTGGGGCAGGGTGTTGTGTCCAGGGTGATTATAAGAGTCCATCCCCATGCTCCCACACAGGCTCACATGCATGCAGAAAGAGGAAAACAAAGTCAAAACCTGGATGTGCAGAAAGAAAGGACGCCCTCATGTTTACATCCCTTGGAAGGCCGATAGATATATGTGGACAGTTATACTCTATACAAATATATCGGGGAGGGAGTCGTAGACAAAATAGGTGCAGGAGATAAATCCGATGAGTAAAACGAAACCGCCGCCAAGCCTACAGCAACTACAGCTCAGTCTGTGTCCGAGTCCAGAGTCGCTCCTGTTTTCTTTAAACCAGGGATAATTACTACACACTGTAGGATTATCATTAACCGTGGTAATACTATCAACAACATGGGAGACGGAGAGAAACGGAGCGAGAACAAATGGCTTAATGGCAGATGAAACGTAAGACGGAGGGGGGAAAAAAAAAAAAAAAAACATACAAAGCAAAGCATTTTTTCCTTTTTTGTTTTCAACAAATAAAAAGAGTGCAGCACTGAAACGGGTACGGAGACAGAAAGAAAAGACGGCAGAGATGAGGTGGAGAGATGGAGAGGGAGAAGAGGAGAACCGACAGTAGCTTCTCTAGCCGTTATGTTTGTTTTTGAGGGCCTTCACTAAGTCGGCCTTCAGAGCCTCCTTCTGTTGCTTGTCAGCCTGACTCTGAACGTTCCTGTGCAAAGAGAGAGGGAGAGAGAGAGAGAGGGTCAGCGCTAAAACATCACATCTACATATGAGACTGAAGATGAGAGGGACGCACTCATCCTGACAGGTCAGAGGAGAAAACAGGTTAATAATGATTAATTACTCATCCAGAGGGAGGATTGGGACGTGCAGAGCATCTCTGACAGGCAGGAATATCAAAGGTTTTGCTTTAATTTGATTTATTTCAACCATTTTTACAGACTTTAGAAGAATGACAACACATGTTCACTGAATTTCAAACTAGGGAAGCACTGATCCACTTCTTTCACTTCTGATACCGTTTCAGATAAATGATGTTTGGTATCGGTCGATACCGATCCGATACAGAAAAACAGAGATGAATAATTGACTTTACTGTTCATAAACACGGATATAAATATAGTGAATTACTAATTTATTTGATAACTCTGCATCAGTACAGCACACTGAAATACACCAATAGCTTCACAAGCTCAAACATGTCAAAACAGCTTTAATTTCTTCAGTCTGTGCAATTAGGAGAAAAATAGCCAATATAACAACAAAAGGTGGCTACCTGGGTCAAACATATAAAAATAAACTGCATTCTTCACACTTGATCTATATTTATTTTAAATGTTGGGACTGATACAGATATTAATATCAGATCGGTGCATCTCTACGTCAGATCTGAGAATCGGATTCAGAAGATTGAATTTGTTGTGAATTTTCTTCACACGATATCAAAACTTTACGTTCGGGGTTAAATTTATTCATACACTCCCTGTAGGACGGAGTCAAGAATCCTCTGGAAAGACATTAGAAAAAACATCTAAACATAATACTTTTGTTGGCAACTATATCAATTACAGAATAATACCTTAGGTTTTTTTCATATTTTATGATAACGCTGTCACTTTTTAGGAGATTTAACATCACAACTACAAATATACATCAAATTCCCAACAGGCCAGCAGAATTTGCTTGTATGTCACTTGAAATATAATTTGCAGCCTTAATAAATCATTCAAACATTCCTTTGAGATTGTGATATTGCACAAATAAATACAGTTGCCTGTGAACTGCAGCTCCAAATTAAATTCAAACTTGTGCATCACATTCTTGTTTTTAAACATGTTGGTTATATCTGCAAAAAGAAGCATTAAAATGCATCAACTAAAGCTGAACATGGAGATGTTATCCATGAGTGCATGTAAACATGTGACCCCAACAGTTAAAACTGCGAAAACTTAAAACTGTTAGCGTAAATATGCTACAGGCAAACCTGTGTGTAAAATTTGACCTTCATTATTTGTAAATCGCTGTTGCAATTCTTTAATTTCAGCTTCTCAAACGTCGGGTCGTAAAGGTCGGGTTTTTTCACTGTCCACCACAGAGGACAATTAATTACAATCATCAGCCTGGTTAGTGTGTTAACGCAAAGGTAAACAAACCTTCACAACATGCCTCACAAATGTTTCTAACTCTGAATGCTGGACATGCAAGTCTGTCCTAAAGCAAGAGATTAAAAAACAGATGCTTAATTAAATAGATTTTCTTCCACAGATGAACATGAAGTCTGATTTTATAGACGGCTCTTTGCAGAGGTCCTGAAAATATCACTCAAGTAAGAGTAGAACTACGTCAACATATTTTTACTCAAGTAAAAGTAAAAAGTAACCATCCAAGAGTAAAAAGTAGCTGATAGAGGCAACTCAATGACTGAGTAACTTTTCAAATTAATATTTAAAAATTACTAATCAGAGGGACCAAAATATAAAGTTAATTTAAATTCAATTCAAAAATACTTTATTGATCCCAAAGGGAAATTAAATTAAATTTGATCTCATTGATTCAGATTCGTCAAAGAGTTATTATAGATGGGGATGTATCAGTCTGGATTACAGCGAATCTGAAGAAGCTTCTGACTGAAGACACTTTGTCTCCCAAGTGGAAATTAATTTCCCAAAGTGTTCTGAGTTGAAGTTTATGTTTTTTAATCTCAAAACGGGATTCAGAAGATTGAATTTGTTTTGAATTTTCTTCAGACGAGGTCAAAACTTTACGTTCAGGGTCGAATTTATTCATACACTCCCTGTAGGACGGAGTAAAGAATGCTCTGGCAAGTCAGGGCTGCAGGACGTCGGAAAAATGGCAAGTATGTTAATTAAAAAAAAAAAAAAAAGTTTTTGTAATTGTAGTTACTTAAAAAACAGTTTCTTTCAATATAAAGCTTATGAAACTTTAACAAAACCTGCAGGTGTGCGTTTGTCCGGTGAAGTTTTGGTTAAAACATGTTTGCTTTTCATTCAGTGGTATTTAGCGATACTTCATAAAAAAATTACTCAAGTAAAAGTGAATAATGCAGCGTAGTAAAAATACTCCTAAAAGTACATATTTAAAAAACATTACTCAAGTAAATGTAATTGAGTAAATGTAAGTCTGGTTTCTGTTCTGATGTTTATTCTTGTACCATCCTGAGGGAAAAGGTGTGGCAGTTTTCTAACTGGTTGTTGGTACCGCTGTGACTTCAGCTCAGGCTTCAGGTTATTTTCACACAGAAACACTCGGCCATGCCAGGTGTACCTCTGACCCTAGTCAATGAAGATCTGACGCTGAGTGAGGACCTGTGACAGCTCCCTCTGGAGCTGCCGGTACTTTTGATTATCGGGCAAAGATTCGATAGATCTGGAGCACAGAGGAGAGGCAGCAGGAGGAGAGAGGAGAGGTGACACGTGAGAGACATGGAAACAGAAACAGCTCTGGTGGAAGAGACAGAAATATGAGAATTGAAGAGACAGGAGTTCAGCAGCTCAGAGGTTAACTCACTGTGGGGGTGATTCAATAAGCTGCTGAGTGAAAACGGTATAAATAAACATGAGGACCACTCTGAGGTGTTGCCGTACCTTAGGCCGTTAACGATATCCTTGGTCTTCCCAAAGTAGATTTCATTCAGTGTGGAGCGAATCTTGTTCTCCATGTCCTGAAAGAACATAATTATTACCATTTTTAAAAATGCTTTATTTACTTTAACTGGACATTTTCAGGTGAAGGTGTGACAAATGTGTAGCATAGTGTAAGAAATCTACTAGTGCCAAAGATTTTCTGCAAAAGGTCATTTCAGTTTTTAAAATGATGGCCTATTTTTGTGTGCATAACTTGTAAAACTGTATTTTATGCCATTTTGGTAATAAATCTGCGTCTTCCCTGAACAAGCTCAGTGTTTAGATTAAATCCTTGTTATTTTACTGTACAGCTCCACCATGTTCACAACTAGATCAAACATATGGAGTGGCTTTTTATTTCATAAAGACTGTGCCCTCTTCTTATTTTCTTTAAACTTTAGTTTCATATTGACAAACATTTTTGCTTCTCTCTCAAGCAAGTTTAGAAAATCTGACAAACTCAGATGATATTCCTAAGTAGAGCGCTTAAAAGAAAAATAAATGCACTGACTTCAACAAGGCGGCCGATGTTGGCGATATGAGGTGAGGACTCTCCGACTGTCTCGTCTTTCTCCATCTGTGAAAAAGATTTAAAGAGTGTTTTAATTCCTGGTCAGGATGGATAAACGGTCAGCAGTGCTCCTCCACCGAGCAGCGTTGTACCTGTCTTGTAAGGCTGCCTCCCAGGTTCATGGTGCCAGAGCCGGTCTTGGTTGTCTGGAGCCACAGCATGACGGTGGAGGTGAGTTTGTAGTGAGCAGTGCGACCGCTAGACTTCTCCTGCTCACAGGATGAACAAGCAGCTCGTTAGAAAACATGGCAGCAACCAACTTTGCAAACATTCACTGCTGCTGGGGGACGTAAAATAAATCCCAAGAAGAGTTCAATAGGAAACCAGATAATCATAGCAATAAGGGATGGACAATAAATCAGTAAGAATATAGACAGGGGTAGACACGTGATCAGTATTAATAAATACATTTGATAGAATTTTCAATATATAAAATATTCACTGAACGCCCGATGTAGAACCACATTGCATTCTGGGAAAAGAGGAAAGACTTTAGCCATTCAACCTCTTAGAGCAAAGTTGGTGGAATCAACTGACTCAATCACTCTTTGGTTACCTAGCAACTCACTAATTCTTTGGTTACCTAGCACCAGCCTGTTGCTAGGTAACCAGCAGCAGTTTAAAGTTTTGCCACTGTGCTTCTTAACTGCTTAAAGTTAAATAAAAAACTGAAAACTGTGAATAAAACTGGAGGTCATGCCACCAGCTTGGCAGTAATTCAGATATTGATGATAAAAAAAATCAATAATTATCAATAGACTGATATGAAACTCTTATATTGTGATACATTTTTCAGTCAAAATGGCCAAACTTAATAGAAATAATGATATCAGTTGTTTCCTTTTCTGTGTTTTCTGTCAGATACTTGAGCGTCTTAGCCAATACTATTTAAATCAGGTGTGAGAACATAAATAACTCAATGGCAAAACTTGATTTCAGTCTGTACAGCCAGAAAACAAGGTTAGAAATCAGCCAAAAACTTCCAACTAGTTGTTTCTTTAAAAGGTTCAACATATATTTAAATGTTTTTAAGTTTATCATGAAAAAGAGTTCAAATAATTTTAGCAGATACCTGGATTTTGGTAAAAATATACCTCTAAACCCTCATTTCATGGTGAAAAATGAAGCCAAGTTAACTATGAACAAAGTTTGAAAATGTCAGTGTTATCTCACCTGCACCTCCACCACATGAATGGAGTCCCAGCATCCTTTAATCTTCTTGGATCCATCGCCGGCCTTTTTGATGAGAATAACTCCAGCGAAGCCATGATCCAAGTCCCAGAGATACACAGAGGACACACCACCCTCAAAGTACCTGAACATTACAGGTAGATAATGCCACGGTCACAAGGGGGCAGCACTGATCTGTACGTACAAACCTCCAGGCCGACACTCACAGGTCCCTGTACTGATCGAAGGCGTTGTTTGCTTCCACTTCAAGTTTCCTCAACCGAGCTGAAGGCATTGCACCATCTTCAATGGGAGGTTCATACTTATTACTCCACGGGGATCTGATGATTGAGAAATTACACTAATTCAGTGTTAAGTCTCAAAACAGATTTCAAACCTCTAAATACCAAATAATACCAAATTAAAGGTGAGACTACAAGCACGTATAAAGGCCTGCGAGTGAATTTATAGAACTGTAGGGGAAAATAAAACATCTCCAGTCAGTCGATTGCTGCTGAAGGAGCAGCACGAACAAAAAATCTGCTATGCAAAGAGGAATCCAGGCTATTTTTAGCCATGCTAATGTAGCTGTTGCTGCTGTGCTTTGCTCTGCTGCAACAGGAAAAGGAACTACTGCCTAACAGCGAAACTTGGCATAAGAACATGATGCATCGGCCTGCTGCATCAACGCTGGAGAGCTGGTTGACTCTGCTGCACCAAACCTCTGTTCCCCTTTAAGCTTGGTTGCTAACAATGCTAATCATGAAATGACTCATGACAGGGGAACTACTTTCCGACATATTTCTGTTTAATTTGAAGGAGGAACAGAGACAGAGTTAGCTGGAGATCATTTTTGGTTGGAGTGGATTTATTTTGTGTTATTTTCATAAGTCATAACAAATAAGGTGCATTCTACCCTGCAAAAAACAAAAATCACCTGCACTTGGTTGTACTCATGCTTGTGATCGCCATGCTTGGATTTTAGAAAATTAAAAGCCCTGAACAAAAGCTACATTATATTAAAGTATTAACATGATAAACTATTCTAATTGATGTAATAATTGTTTGCTAAAATATTCCAAGAGTCCTGAAGACACACTCTACATGCTAATGCTACACTCAGGCTGCTGGATGATGTAAATTCCGACTTCCCAGTCGGAGAAATCAGCCATCCCAAGCCAGTTTTCCCACTGGGAAACTGGGATCAACTGTGACTTCCCCCCAGTTATGACTTGTAAGACAGACTTTGCATTTCAAAATGGCTTCTCTTTCCGTCAACAGAGGTGGAAATGTTTATTTTACAAGACAAACAAGTAGAAGCGTCTAAAATCAATGTTGCATGTAGCGCCTGCAGCTCTAAAGTGAACAAATTAAAAGTGTTGTTTACTTATGGAAAGCAGAGCTTAAAATTATGTTTGTATGAGTTTTTGCAAACAATGTTTATGGGTGTCGCCATGTTGAAATTCAGACTTCTTAACTAGAACGTCGTTATCGAGTCTGGCTGCTCCGTGTTCCCACTCCCCAGGAAACTGGACCGCAGCTCTTACATCACCACGCCTGACAAAATTCAAACCGACGTGAAATATTGTGGCGTTTCATATGAGGCGGTATCGTCACGCCAACACCAGATAATATTTGGATAAATTTTCCGTCTCAGGTAATTAATTTCAATGATGTACTGCACCTGTAGGAGTCGCCATCTCGATTGTAATCACAGAGCAGATAGTCTTTCCCCACCACTTTGTCACGGGCGATCTTCAGGGGCTGGTCCACTGAGGAGAGGAGGTCCTCGCACAGACTGGGCACCTACAGCCAAACAGACAACGGCTTTAGTTGAGACTCTGGTACTGATAGCAGGATTACAGGATTTTCTCAGGGTAGAGAAACAGAAAAGCAAAACATGGCATTTGGGTTATTTGATACTTTTAAACTCTAATCACATTCCAGCTTCACCCAGATGAGGTAGAATAAAGTATAATTGGGAAATATAATATCTAAAGGAGAAAGGGGTACAAATTAGTTCTCACAGACTGACATGGAGTACCCCCCTCCTTCACGCTCTTGCATCAGAGCACAGACACAAAGGCAGCCCTGTTATCCTGCAAAAGCCCCCATACCCACAAACAGACACTCTCCCACATAAACGCACCTGGCAGCCCAGACTGACCAAGAGCACAGAAACGAGTCTGAACTGGGAATATAGTGTGGAGGGTAAAGAAACGCAGGACCAGAGGGGAGAAGATGAGAGATATGGGACAAACAGGAACAGGAGAAGAGATTTTAGCTGGCAAGATAAAGTTTCAGCGGTGGGCAGAGCCAAGAAGAAGTTGGCAGCGGAGGTGATTGACAGCTGTGATAATGATCACTAATAACCGGACATAGTGGTCGCTCGTTAAGAAAAGAGCAGGTGTTCATGGGGTGAGAGGTTAGAGGGGAGGAGGGGGGATATGGCTGAAAAGAAACGGATGGAAAGCCTGGAGGAAAAGTGTTGTTTGATTCACATCTAAGTTAAATGTAATTTATGATGTAACTACTGTTAAAATCAACAAAGAAAATCTAAATTACTGCTATATTAGCTGCAAAAGTAAAACCGTTCATTGAGAAATCATGTTGATGAGCAGACATGATCATCGTTGCATGGAATAAATAAAACACAGGGAATTTAAAGGCATACAGGAATCCCTGCAAAGACCAGAGGAAAGTACTGACCAGGTCGATGAGGTCACTGAGGTTCTTCTCGATCTGCTGAGGAGGCAGACGCCTCATCAGGTCCAGGGCACAGTCCAACTGTTGATCGTTCTGAAACACAGAGACGTCAAACACTTAAAACTCAAACCTGATTGAAGAGAGTCAACACAGCATTTCTTTAAACAAACAAAAACAAATGGGGTTTCTGGACATCACAGAATCTACTTTTAACATTATCCCAGAAAATAAAGCTTCTAAAACCTGAGACACCCAGACCAATCTGCCCTGGGTGGAGAGCCAGACTGTCAATATCAACAACTTTGACTGAATGTGCCATTTAACACTGCAGAACCTCATTCCACAACATCACATTACGCCTCTCCACGTTAGGGACTTAATACGTACAAACTCAGATCATAAACACATAAATTGTTAAGTCATTTAGACAAACTGAGCCAAAATGCAGAAGTAAAGTCCACGTCCACAGGCAATAACGCCAAATGGCAGCCAACCTAAAACACACGACAACTCGTCATCAGCGTGTGTGAGAACTTCAATAAAGTCAGGAGCTCAGGCTTAGCAGGAACATTTGTGTGTGTGGTAACTGCAGTAGTAGCAGTTACCACACAGAAGCTGTTGTTCCAGTCCAAACAAACATCAAACTGGGAAGGTTACAATCGTCCTTTACAAGGAGATCAAATTTGATATTTTACTGCAGGAAATATCAGTGGAAAATATTAAAACAGTCGGTGAATCTTCTTCTCAGGAGTGGACGTCCCAGAAAGTTGACGCCAACGCTAGGAATGCAGTGTTGCAAATGATTAGGATCGTTACAGCGGCAGCACAAGGACACAAGAAATCTGAGAAAAAAAAACAAACCACGGACATTTCATTCATCCATCCATCCATCCATCTTCTTCCGCTTATCCGGGATCGGGTCGAGGGGGCAGCAGCTTCAGAAGGGAGGCCCAGACTTCCCTTCATTCAGACAAAACCAAAGAGCTGACCCGATCCAAAGCTCCACATTGGGTGAAGATTTAAACATTTCACATCAAGACTGCAGTCTGTCAATCACAAACTAAAATTCATTTAAATACTAACTGCAACTCAAACAAAAGACTGGACAAAAGATGTAGATGACTGATAAGGTCAT